TTTAAACAACGATGATCGTCGCTTCTGATGATGATTTTTTTACCTGGATTTTACATGGATCATTACTGAGATACATTACTTATATTTATAATAGTGACATTAAAGTTCGATCGACGATTTTCAAAAAATGCTACAGACTAATCCAGCAAACACCAAACTCTGTTGTTAAAGAGCTTGCGGAGCTCAGGCAGACAATGTCGCAGCTCATTACCCTCAATCGTTCCATGACAGAGTCCCTTGATAGACTACAGCAGTCTTCATCGTATTCGAGGTCCAGGTCACGCTCTACAGGTGCATCAACACGTTCCTCCTCACCAGCCACCCAACGGATGCGTTTTTATCATGCCAGGTTCGGTGACAAGGCACCTATGTCTCATGCCATGCAACTACCCTTCTCCAATTACTCCACTTCTACGGAAGGGAAACTAAAAATGCTGTCGTTAGTACTGGCGGTGGGCGACAGCGATTTTAATAATAAACTCCCCAACCTCAAGGAGCACCGCCTATTTTTCATCGACAACCTCACCAAGATCGAATTTCTAGTGGACACAGGCTCAGTAATCTCCATAGTTCCCAGAAAATCTCCGCAACCCAACGAAACAGCGGAGACTCGATACAGCACTTATGACCACGAGCTTCTGGCCATCTACTCGGGCATCACGAGCTTCAAGCACATAGTTGAAGGCCGTGATTTCGTCGTTAAGACAGATCACAAGCCCCTCACCTATACTTACCACCAACGACCAGAACAGACATCGCCCAGGCAAGTCACAACACAACTAAATTTAATCTCTCAATTCACGACACAAATCATTCATGTCAAGGGTGAAGAGAATATTGTGGCTGATGCACTGTCTCGTGTTAGCACCATTAACACGCCCAAAGCCCTAAGCTCAGAGGTCATCCACGAGGTCCAGCTGGACGATCCAGAGCTAGCCCAAGCCCTCAGCAGTAGCTCTCTCAAGTTCCAGCCCCTGGTGGTAGAGGATCACAAGATTTACTGTGACGGATCCACGGGTACCTCCGCCCCTTCATTCCAGCTGTCCTACGTGAGCAGGCTTTTAAGGTCGTGCATGGCCTGTCGCACCCATCCGGAAGAGTCACAGCTCGTCATCTCCGAGAGCAATTCGTCTGGCCTGGGATAAAAAACTGAAAAGTCACTGCATGATGCCATCATGATCGTCAGAAGGATGATTAAAAATGACGCGGTTGTTGCTGGTGGTGGAGCTATTGAAATGGAACTCTCGAAAACTCGCAGGAATCATTCTAGAACAATTGCTAGAACAATTGCTGGAACAATTGCTGGAACAATTGCTGTACGTACGATAACATACAACGTTGGATCATTCTAGGACTTTAAAGAGTCACCTACTTGCTGCAACAGTAGAAATGATGCTATCAAAGTAAGAAAAATAAGTTCTAGAATGATCAAACAT